TTCGATTCTTAATGATGGGTAGAAGTAGTGATTAGAATTTGGCAACTGCAGGTCCAGACATTTCGGAGATACACAGCTAAATGAGCAAACAGTTGCAGTTTTTGAGAGAACTAAGCATTGAATTTGAATGATTTAAGAATCTTTCTGCTTGTGTTGACAAAATGATTGCTTTGGGAAAAGAATTTATTTTAATTTTTAATTTTTTTTTTAATTAAAATTTTTTTTGAATATAGAAAAATAATTCGGATTTTAATTCTAATTCTAGCTAAAGTTCTAAACATCATTTATAATACTTCAAATAATTATAATAATCTATTTAAAAACATTTAATATTTTTCGAATTAACATTAAGGTATGGGAAGTACCAGCAATTTGCCTTAAGGCACAATGCCATTAGTTTTTTTACCATTTTGCACAAGCAATTATAGCAACCGAAAATCAGCACAATCTGACAAGAAGTTTCTCTCCCTGGCGTCAGTTGACAACTAGACTTCACAAATCATAAAACAAAGTTCTCCGAAATTCTCCGAAAAGTCGTTCAATGGGCCGGCAGCTTTCTTTTTTGCTCGCACGGCACATGATAGTATTTTGAATTTTGGGTACTCATAAATCGTACTCAAAATGGCGTTTCTCAAGTCAAAGTTTTTTGTAAATCGTAGGACGTGTCTAATGTGTGAGAATTCATTGAATTGAAGATCGAGAACTGTGGACTACTGAAGGTTGTAGGAATCTGCTGCAAGTGAATAAAAAACTGTCGATCATCGGTTATGCATAAATATTATCATATGCTTGGGAATGAATGGGATTTTGGTAGAGAAAGCTCTGTTGCTAGGCCAGAAATAGATAGGAAAAACAGGAGTTAACGTGAAATCAAACCTTATTGATAAATTGGTGCAAAAATAATCTATGAGATATTACAGTGTTGAATTGATCAAAGTAAATAATCACAATTGAATAAGGGATCGTTCAAGTATTACGTAAGCAGATTTATTACAATTATTTATCCCCCCTCCCCTTTGTCAGCAAAAGTAAGCAAATTTCTTACCAAAAATAAGCAAAATAAGCAAATCAATAATTTTAAAGCTTACTTATATACTTTAAATTAATAATTTTCACTATGAAATTCAGTTTATATAATTCTTATAAATATTAGACAATGTTACAGTATTTATAATAATCTATTTGAAAACATTTAATATTCTTCGAACATTTCGTTACGGTACAAGAAGTTCCAGCAATTTGCCTTAAGGCACAATGCCATACACCACTAGTTATATATTTATATTAGTTGCCAGAAATTGACAAATATGAATATTGTTTTATTTGAATATCCAAACTTGTGGGCCAAAAGGTAAAATTCAGGGCCCTCATACATGACAACCAATTTTGGTGTCAAACGATTCACAACGACTTGGAACATCAAGAAAACATGAAATTAGCAAATCGAATTTTAAGCATAAAAAAAAACTTCTCTTTCAAAAAATAAACAAAATTTTTGCTTAGATCTTTCTTAGAATTTTACCTTCCTTACTTTTGTCTGAAGCAGCTATAAAACTACGAATATCACTAGAAATATTATATAAAATAATGTATGAAAAATGTAAGTGCTAGAGCAATTTTTTATTATATATCTAGTTTTTAATGATTAAAAACCACTTCCTTGCGACGTGTTGGGATTATGAATCATAAAAATCATTACGCGTAACTGCATTTAAAACTTTGCTGTTTAATGAATTCCATCGTTTGTGGTAAAAATTATGCAATAATTTAAAAAACATCTTTTGTATTTAAATTTATCAATTAACTGAAATACAAACATATAGTAAGTAACCAATAAAATAATTTTATTCATTAACATAATCGTCGTGATCTACATCAAAAGTATCGATTACACTAATTGATGTATTTATGTGGCTTAAGAAATATTTTTTTTAATGTTAAAGATTTTCCTACCCCGGCTACATCAACTTTATGATAATTTGAGATATCATATCGACAGCTGGTAAAAGCAAGATATAAGAAATGGTAATTTCACACTTTTACTTTCAGTTAACAAATCGGAAGTTCTAGATGCCTAACAAAAGCTCGCAGTTAGCTTTTGTTGAGTATCAAATTTATGCAAAGAAACCGGTATGCAAATAATACTGTATACTTTTATTTATTCAGGAACCCTTTCTTATTATTTCTATCAAAGTTCCGTTAGCATTCATCTGCTTCTTCTAAAGTTTCTGCCAGGTGCTTGATAAGACGACAAAGCCCTAAACCTTTGTTAGCAAAGGGTTTGTCGCAAAATCTTGGGCACGTGCCTAAGGTAAGAATAAAGGGATGTGGGGTCTTATAATGCCTTAGGTCATATTGAGCCCGTTTTATTTGGTAGTTTTAAGGTGGCGCATAGAAGATAAGAAAATACCGTTGTGTCTATAAAAAAACATCTATGGACCTCTATATTAAAATGAAAGAAAGATAATTTATTTTTGTGGTATTATAATTTGTTGAACATTAATAAGAAACCAAATGATCAATTAACAAGCAATAATATTATACAATAATGCAAACAGTGTTTGGCGCATAAAAAATAATCAGAAGTATTGGATATTGATATCTTCATCCGGTTAGTCACAGTCGCGATAACAGGCAAGAAAGTGCCAACGAGCTTTTATACAAACAATTCTGTATAATATTTATTATATAATCGATCTTTGTTTTACGTGATTTTTTATTTCTATAAAATTTAATTTTATAAAATTATGAGAATCATAATTGTTGATAATTTTTGTTAAATTCATTTTCCAAAAAAATATACCTAAAGGTAAAATAAATACCCTTAAAGTAATAATTTATAGATTTGGATATATGATAATTTGTGTAATTTTGCTTGTAATTTTATATTTCAAGAAACTGCGGCGTGCTTAACTCAGTCAGCGTTTCGGATTCAAAAGCCAGAGATCATCGGATCGAATCCTAGCCATGTCATAGATATTTATTTTTTCGTGTAGTTATCTTCAACATCTCTGATTAACTTACCAATTTCATAATTTTATGTTTTCTTGTAGTTTCAAGTCATTCTATATCGTTTCAGCCCAAAAATTGCAAAAAGTAATGGAACCAAAATTTGACTTTTGTCTACTTTTTTTCAAAAATAGCTGAACCGATTTCAATAATTTCAAAGCCATTTGATAGCACTAGTTGATTGGTTTTTTGTAATTTCTTTATACTTAGCAATATTTTTCGTCCAAATTTCAGCCAAAAAATTTGAACCGATCTTGAAAAATCAAAAACTGTTCGAAAGATATCAGTTGGTAACCTCAACCCTTAAATTAATTCCTGGTAAAGATCTGCCGAGCTATTTCTTTATAATTAATTTTTTGACGATTTTGATGAAACCTTGCATAATGGTAGATTTCGTGGTCTTAACTAACATTCTAAAATATTGTAAACCTACACATAGTGGTTCAATTATAAAAAATCATCAAAGATGATGTGTCGAGATTTCAAAATCATATCGGCGCAATTTTAAAAATTGCTAAATTGATTTATTAGTGATTTACACTAATTACTACTTTGGTTATTAGTGATTTACACTTAGGAGGCGTCCAGTTATCACGTGATCGATTTTTAAAGGAATTTTGGACCCCCCTTCCCCTTGGTGAATTCCTATGTGGTGATATTCAAGATTAACTAACCGCTCCCTCCCTCACCAAACATTATGAGTATTTTTAGTTACGAAAAAAATTGTAGAATTTTTGATTTTTTTGGTAATGTTTAGATTTTTTTTAAAAAATTCTGTTGTGGATTAATTACACGTGATATGTTACTATACTCCTCCCTACCCCCACATGATATTTTGTGATTTTTTGATAAACCTCCCTCCCCCTAAAAACCTCACGTGATTAATGTGCGACCCCTTACTGCAGTATTATTATTTAATAGTGATCAATGTGTTTTGATTGAAATACTTTAGACAAACAATTTTTATTACCTTCCCGTAGGGTTTTTACATTTCTCGACGTTTTGAAGGTTTCTGAACATTTTGGCATATCTCAGAAAAAATGGATGTGTGTGTGTGCGTATGTACGTATGGACACAAATTTCCAGTCACGTTTTCGGGCGCATGGATCAGCCGATTTGAATGGTTCCAAAAACATTCGATTTCTATTGATAGGGAGAAGAGCTGATTAGTTTTTGGCAAAGGCAGGTCCAACCGTTACGGAGATACTGAGCAAAGAGTGCAGAAAATAGAAATCGATTTTTTGAGTGAACGGAGCATCCGATTAGAATGATCTAAAAAACATTCAATTAGTAATGTTTGGGAGAAGTGATTATTAGTTTTTGGTAATGGCAGGTCCAGCCATTTCAAAGATATGGAGCTAAATATGCAACAATAGTAGTTTTTGAGAGAACTAAGCGTCCAATTTAAATGATTCAAAGAACTTTCAGCTTGTTTTAACAAAATAATTGATTTTGGGAAAAAAAATTAAATGATTTTTTTTTTAGTTTTTTTGTATAGCGAAAATAACTCAGATTTTATTTTTGATTCTGACTAAAGTTCTAATATACTTTAAACAAATAATTTCAACTTTGCAATTCAGTTTATATAGTTCTTATAAATATTAGACAATGTTACAATATTTATAATAATCTATTTGAAAATATTCAATATTCCTCGAACATTTCGTTACGATACGGAAAGTTCCAGCAATTTGCCTTAAGGCACGATACCATACACCACTAGTTGTTCAATTAATTTCTCAAAAATCTAATTATCTATTAATGAGACACTCAATCATCAGTTAGCATACAATTTTTTACGATTCCGAGGTATCGAATCATAAGCATTGCAATTATCCTCTCAGGCTTGTGTGTTTGGTCCGGAGCGGCGTCCCAAACATCATTGTGCTACCTTTGGTGGGGAATATTTTGGTTTTGTTCGGCCGGCCGGCCGAGTAGTGGGAGAGCGGCTCATGTGCTACGGCGGAGTAGCAAAGCTTCGACAGCTGGCAGATCACCGCTTCGAGTCAGTGTAAAATGTTATTAGCAGCCAAGCAGTGTTAATATCGAAGCGTTGTCGTACACACACTAAACATTCATTCAACAAAAACATCCAAATTCACTCACAACATCCCTCATTTCTCCAAAACCACTAACTACGCAACGCTTCATATTTAGTCATAATTCCAAGAACAATCAATATTCAATACATGTAACTTCATGCAACATTTATGTATTAAAAATTATTCTAACTAGTTTATAGTGATTTTTTGTGATAACTACTAAACGTGACAGTTTTTAAAACTGTACCTTATATATTGAAATCTAGTGACAAACGTGAACATTTATAATTAAAATCATATACACCGATATATTTCCTTTATAAGTTGTTTCTTCGGTTGATAATGGACCTTTTGTGTACTGAGACCGTGGCCGAAACGACAGGGCCCCATTTGAGTAAATCTAACAATGCTACGATGGTAGAAAGGAAAGTTAATACAGCCCTGGAGGATCGTGTTATTTTGGAGGACCGTTGTTTGCAAAATTTATTGATCAGCGAGGAACGTTACACTAATATTTGTTCATATCTAAACGATTATAAAAGCGACATAACGGCGCAGATGAGGTTCATTGTTGCTGATTGGATGTTACAGGTAATAAATAGAAATAGAAATTTTTTAAGCACTTTTTATCTGCACATCATGTCTAATATGTTATTGTATTTATTTTCTATACATACATACATACATACATACATTTACATATACCTGCATCAATTTTTTTTATTTTCATTTTTATTTACATATATACATTATTTTCATATCTCAGTCAGAAAGAGGTGCCTGGTATGAGAGATTATGAAAGACAGTTTTCATATTTTAATATACATTTCATTTGATTATTTCATTAATATAATATCTATTATAATTAAAATATCTTTATATATAACTCTTCAGTCTTCTTTGTCTTCAATTTCCTTATAGTATTTTTTTATTTTTCTTTTAAATTTATCGTCATCATTTGTCATCTTAATATCGTTTGGCAATTCGTTATATATTTTGCTAGCACTCCATATGACATTTTCTCTCAAATTCTTCTTTCTATTAATTACATACATACATGCATTATTTATTTTGTATATATTGCACGTATATATTTAGTTAGTTATTCTTATCTTATTATATAATGCAATTTCCAAAGAACTCATAAATTTGGGTTCAAACATGATTCACTACCTGCTAGGATTTTTTCGGGGAACAGATATGTGTTTTTGACCATGAAGGTATAATTCATAGGAGAAGCGTGCCTATTCATTTATATAATAAGAATCTTATTATATAAGATATTTATTTTATTTTAATTTATTTATTTATACATTTTGTTGCATGCACCAACAATATTTTTATTAGCATTTTTCTATAGAATCAATCAACTTTTGTAATCACAAAGATTATCTCAATTACTAGAATTCCAATTGGAAATTTTTACAATTACACTAGGTATTATACTTACATTTTTGATAATTAATATTTGGCATTATATTATATTTTATCGATGATTTTATTCTCTCACCGATCATTTTCTGACAAAGTTTGCAGTATGATAATTTTGCAAACGTCTGCTCATTGATAATTCATATGCTATGCCGTTCTTTATGATAATAGGGCAGGAGTTCAAACTTGTCTATTTAAAACAAGAACATTTAAACGACTCGAACGCGGTATTTAATTTTTAAAGCTCCCGAGCGCGAACGGCGGAGCAGGTCGCGGTTCGCGGATAACGAACGAGCTTTCGAGCTTTCTTTCTGCACTTTGATGCTTTTATGGGAAAAGCTTCGGATAAATAGTTTTTAATAAGACGAATTAGTTTGAGAAGGATTATTGGTTTTTAATTTTTCCCAATTTTGGGATAGGCAGTTTTACTGTATTTTGGCACAAATTATTGTGAATATGACGAATCAGGTGGAAAAGTATTATTTGGTTATAGTTTTTTCAATTGCTAGGAGTGGGCAAGGATAATTTGATTATTAATTTTTCAGTTTTGATATGGTCAGTTTTACTGTATTTCGAACAAGTAATTACTAATATGACAAATTAGTCGAAAAAGTATTATCTGGTTATTAATTTTTTTCTGGGAGGGGACAGTTTTACAGTAGTTCTGGAGTTCATAAACGATTTTCTAAACAAAAAATTTGTAAAATTTTATTCATGAACTTTATAACGCAATCAAATAAACAGAGAATTGAAATATTTTCATAAAATACTGATGAAACATGTAAGTCTGTTTGCATATAGGCAGAGAAATCGCGACCTGTAGGAAATAAGATAGGTCCTTCTTATATATTGGAACTATTTTATAATAAGTCGCGAATTAGTCTAAAGATGTTATTGTTTTATCAATCGATTGCTTTAATTACCTTCTTAAATATAAAATCGTTTTTATCAAATTTATTTAGGGTAGTGCAAATTATAAGGGTCCAATTTGATTTTTGGCAATTATGTTCTGAAAACCGAACCAACTTCTTAACAACAAATAATTCATACCAAACAAACAACTATTCGACTAGGTCCAGTTAAGCTCCCAGCTAATTCATTATTGTAAAAATGTCTTTGTTTTGCTGTTTTTCAAAAATTTGTCACCTAGTCTTTTTTTACTCCAGAGGCGGTCCAAAATAAAGCGGCCAGATCCAATGTCTTATTTTTAATTTTAAAGGGATTTTACGAAATAATAGCTACATTGTTCAGCCAAAACAAAATACAAACTTCCTGGGCACATTTTTACAAAGATCACCACGGAAATAAACTGGATCTGGTATTTTGTCAGAAATATTTATCAGCAGAGTTAGAATAACTATTTGATTATAAAATTTATATTCGTAAAATTGATTTTTTAAACTGAATTTACTGTTTATTTACTATTTTTTATTGTTTACACCTTTGCCATGGTAAAAGTTCAGCTGGTCATTTCCACCCCATTCATGTCTAAGCTTTTATAGAAGTTTTATGAAAAAACTTAAAATCAACTTACAATAACAATACATATTATAAAACAATTAATAACGTATACTTAGAAAAATATTTCAAGGTCTCATAAACTAAACAACAGTGCTCACAACCAAAAAAATTAGCGACGAAAAAAATACTTTTGTCATGAATTTTCAAAGTTTGTTGTTAATCTTCCCAGAGCAACGTCGTAAGAATCGAAATAATGGCTGGTTATACTCTTGTACTTGTACTTACAATTTTTTTCATATATATTTGTACCTATTACATAATAAAATATCAGCAAACTTTTTGATAGTACTTTGTAGAATGTCTAAATAGGATACCAATCCATTGATTGGACGTCCGGGTATGATGGTTCTTACAAATATTGTTGTTGAAAAATTCGTAACTTCTCTTGTTTTTGAGAAATCTGTGGTGTACTTTACTTGCTTTTGAGATAAATATCCACAACCATATTTAAGCCCCACTCTACCCTATGCAATATTCATTTACTACCAAACTTTCCTGTCCTATTCCTTTGTTTTTTTTTCATAATTTGCTCATCGAAAGGGCAACTATCTTTCATCGATGGCATTTTTCCACGATTAAATTCAGTCTAAATATCTCAGTAATTCTTTCATTGAACAGAAGTCAACCACCGTCTGGTCGTGCATTCGTCTGCACGATATCGGTGATTTAAATCGCGCTTCAGAAAGAACGTGCATGCACGTCTGGTTATAAAATAGGAGGATGGGTTCGAGAAGAGTTAAAGACCCATGAACTCATTGAATAGGAATTACATTAAAATAATGCGAATTACATTATAAACCAACGGTACAGTTGAGAAAGTAGACCCAGAGATAAAGGACAATCTCTAATAATTATGAAAACTTAAACTCGTTTATTCACAATCTTACTTAAGGTAACAAACTCCAAACTCCAAACTTTGGTAAAATTTTTGGAAACATTTTTCAGTAATTTGTAAGAAATAAGACGCACCATAGTTTCCATATAGCTCAGGACCAGATATACCGATTCAGTACAATAACGATATTTCTAGTTTATTCTTGATATATGATAATTATTGTTTTTCTTTGTCTAAGGTTCTACTATAAATTCATTTAATATGATTGCATAGTTTATGGGATTCGCGTTTGTATTCTTTCAAGCAAGAAGAGGCTTTGAATAATTCATATGAATGCTTAGAGATCATTTCTCGCTTCTTAATACATTGTTGGTTGTGTACGATGATCGTAAATTACGAAGATATTTATCATTTTGTTTTAATTGAGTTTATTTTGTTCAGTTAATTGTGTAAATTATGAATGAATGGAAAAGTTAGCAGACAGGTAGTAGATAGATACTGTATGGTTTTTCCTTGTCTGATCTGATTCCAATCTATTATTTTTTGTGATGCATGTCATTTTACTCAATTTTTTTTCCACGATGACCATAGAAAGATCGCTGACATTTGAATTTGACGAATGCTAGCGATTTTATATCATCAAGGTTAAAAGAACGCGGCGTAGCCATGCTTCATTTCATTTTATTATTTCGGGCGTGTTCGCTTTATACTGCCCGATTTGTCGACAGATCAGATTTATCAGTTATTTACCGAAAATTCGAATTTCATGCTCAATGCCATGTAATTTTTGATTTGTGGACCATATCTACCTTTAATCCGTACAAGACGAGTCATTGCTGTATGGTAATACCTGATACATATAACAGAAATATATATATATATATATATATATATATATATATACATAAATATTTTTTGCAAGAATTGTAACCATATAAACAATTTTTATATACATATATACGTATTTCTTTATAAGGTTATTAAACTCTTATCATAGAAATCATGCGTACAATGTTCCCAAAAAATTTACATCACACAATTAACAAGTATTGCGCAACATTAGCAATGCTTTATGTCAATATAGTTATTGAAATATTTAATACACTTAACATAGTTAAACATCAACAATTTCTCAAGAAATTTCTTATGTGTTATTCTCACGGATGTGGTCAAGGGCGAATTTAAAAAATGGTCAATATAATGGTTAAATAAAAATCACCATTAGGTTAAAAAAAAAATTCATACAAAATATTAAAAAAAATAATTCATTGGGCTTTAAAATTAAATAAAATTCTAGGTTGCGTGGAATATAAAATCTCAATGAAAAGATTAGTATGGGATGACCATGTAATTGCTTTTAGCTATTTTTAATACATTTATATCAACAGAAGTATCCCGGATTCACGACCTAGGCGAACAGATTGCTAAAAATATAAAACTAGTGGGGCGCATGGCATCGTGCCTTAAGGCAAATTGCTGGAACTTCCCGTACCAAAAATTATTTTTTTTTTGAAAAGATTAACATTTTTTAAAAAAATTTACTCTAAAAAAATAGATTTTTGAGGAACTATATAAATTTTTGACAAAAGTTTTTGTTGAAAAATTTATTTTGAAATATTTTGGAAATTTTGAACTTTTTTTCAAAGCAATCGTACTGCTTTAATGCATAGAGACTAAATATCGAAGCGCGTAAGCGCCGCGTCGCTGTCTAACGCATAAGCATTGGTACGGAACCCATAGGAATGTTAACAAAATGTATACTCATTGTTAAAACCTCTATAAAATATCTGATAATTTGATGTGC